TGAATGAATTCTGATTGTCTCATTAATGATGCAGAACTTTTTAAATTGTAAAACAAATCTCAAATACTCAAATACCAACATTTCCTCAAAGTTCTCGAATTGTCAGTTTTATCAGTATCAGTCAGTATCAATGATATAACACATCTTTTTATATTTTGGAATGTATGCTAATTTATTTGTTTCCAAAATTTCCTCTACAAAAACATAACTTTAATATTTTCAAAAAATATATGAAATGGTTAGGAGTAAGGGAAAAGGAAAACTGAGAAAATTGAAATATATGAATTGGAAGATATTCATTTCATTGTAATAACATTTCCTCAAAGTTCTCGAGTTGTCAATTTTGTCAGTATCAGTTATCAATTATCATTGTTATCATAAATTCAGAATTACTACCGTAACATTTAATTGAACTCATTCATTCCAATCCAATTATTTATATAATGAATATGTGTGTGTGTGTGTGTGTGTGTGTGTGTGTGTGTGTGCATTGTGTATATATGTATGTGTGTATTCAATTGTTCAGCAAGAAGATCAGATGAGGTACGATTTAACTTAACATATTCCATCAATCAGTTCCAATGCTAACTACTACTACCACTACTGAGCTATTTGAATGTGAATCATTAATTAGATGATTCGAAGAATCTCTTCTGCATACACTTCGAATATATATTCTCTTATGTTAGGAAAAAAACTGAAAACATTTGATGAATTATATAACGAATTTATGACGGTATATGTAGAAAATGGAGACGGGAAGCGGGAAGGCGGGGAATTTAAGAAGAGAAAATATTGAATTTTTACATTGAACAAATGATATTAGCTATAACTGTAATATATTCGATTATGAAAATTTTCTGCCAAAGTATATTTGTATTTATTTGAGATGGAGAATTTTATATGGCATTGTTAATGAGGAGGAAATTTAGGGAGAGACTATTTGTAGCAGAGGTTAATGACACCTTTTAAAAGTGGACACTAAACAATGTCGATCATTAAATGTTGAAATGAGAATTATTGAGTAGCATTTTTGATTCAGATTATGGTTTCATTTTCAGTTAATGGAATTTTTAAATTATTCATGGTATTTAATCCTCAATGTTTAAATTACTTCTTTTCGCTCATAAATGTAAGTGAAATTAATTGCGTTTGTAACGTAGAAATTTTTATTAAAATATAATAATTTGAACGATCAGTAAAAGATATCATGAGAATTACAACATGGAAAAGCAATATTTCGAAAATTTTTAAAATTCTTTTCTCCTTCTCTCTCTCTCTCTCTCTCTCTCTCTCTTTCCATCTCTCTTCAATGAGATTAACATTTAAAGAAGAGAATTTAATGGTTAATTATGGAAAGAATTGAAATTTTTGCATATGAAATAGGTAGAAATATTGTTTGAAGTTATATGAGAGTTAAAGCTAAAAGTGAAAATTAAATGCAGCTGTCTCGTTAAAAAACAAAGAATAATTTGATTGGATGATTTGCAAGAACGATGGAAATCTTTCATTCTCATTTTTCCGTACAAATCGATTTGTACAGCAATTTGCATTTATTTATTGTTAAAAATTAAACAATAAGAAGTTTTTTGCAATTCACAATTAGCTAATTGAAGATAATTTAAAGGAATGAAAATGGATTAAAAACATAAAAGAAGAAAATAATAGTAATTAATAGAAGTGAACAGAATTTTAATTATGGAAAACGAATTTTAATAATTTTGCTCTATTAAAATGTTGCAACAATAAATTATCATTCACTCAATTTGATGCTATTAATGGTTGGAATTGAAAAAGTTTTTGATACAAAATTACATGGAATAATTTGATTGAAATGTAAACAAAAAAGTTTCATTTATGATGAAGGATATGTCAACTTGCTATTTACTTCTATTTGAAGATTATTGTTAAGAGGAAATATGAAGACTGGAAACATCAGATTAATCATTTATAAAAACATGTATCAAGCGCGAATTTGTGCTATTCAGAATGATATTATGATAAAAAAGAATCAATCAAAATTCGACATTGCTGAAGTTCGATACGAATGATAAGAGTCATGAAAGAGTGATAACAACTCTCATTGATTTTGAATGGTTATAATAAAGATGTACAGGTAAGGATACTACCAAACCAACTATAACCGAAGAGAGTTTAGTTTTTAATCACCTGAAAAGTGAAGTTTCATTTATCCATAGGATTTAATTATGAAGATATAAAGGAATTTTAAATTATAACGATCAAAAGGTGATTAGGAATGATGAAACAAAAAATGTGACGCTTAGGAAATGAAGATTTGTGAAATTCTTATACATCTATATCAAGCTTATGATGAACAAACAAATATCGTCATTGGTAAATTGATTAGTTTCGTCTCAATAAACCAGCTATAAATAATGCATTCATTTTAACATTCCGTTCCTTCCAGTTTACAAATATCTTTTCACGTTTGGCACTTGTCACAGTGATATTATTAAATGATAATGATAATAACATTCACTAATTCATATGTTACAATTTAAATCTTATTTCAGCAAGTAATGATTAATTTTTTCAATGTTCCATTTTAAGTTTTCCATTTTAAAATGACAAAAAGTAAAACTTTGATCTTCAAACAGCATCCTAACTAGTATGAGAAGAGAAAATATCTTTATCATTACTTTATTGATCAATCATAATTAAACGAAAATGAAATTAAATTTTGTTTTACTTCTTAATAGTATAATTTAAGAAAATATTGTATTATAGTATAATTGTATTGATGTTATAAAATTTGCATAAATTTTGTTGGAAAAGAAATTCATTCAATAATTATTCATATTTCAATAATTGTTGAAAGTTTTTCAATTTTTAATTTGAAAAAGATTTAATAGGAATAATTCGAAATGTATTTGAATGAAATTTAAAATTTAAAAGTTGAAATTTTCGATTTTCATTTTCTTTATTTAAATTTGATAACAAATTTATCAATTCTCAACATATTACAGCAATCATTGAAATAGTTCGTATAAAAGAACAAAATGAATTGTCATTTTTTGTCGCTGTCATTTCTCTTTCAAAGATTGTATTATAGTATTACTTCAGATTGTTGTTTGTCTTCCTACAACATATCATATCATTCATCTTTTATCAATCTTCTTTCAATATAACTTTTTTTCCTTGAATCTTTTGGATTCAGAAGAAGTCTTTCAATTCTTAATTTAATTAATTGATTATGTGATATAAGGATAGTGAAATGTTGATAATGATAGTGATAATGATAATAATAATGATAATAATGATGGTAATGATTTCTGAATACTAAAATTTATTGTGATAATTGTTTCTTTTTTGAATATTATAATTTACTGTAATGGTATTAAATGATCCGTCATATAAAATGATGGCTAATTTATTTAGCAGTAAAAGTTTATTCAATTCATCTTAATCGATAGAAGAAAAAAATACAACGATTAATTGATTCATTAAACTTTCAACCATAAATGGAAGCGTTTCAACTCATTTATTTAAATGCCATTAATAATATTTCAATTCGTAATTTTTTATCAAAAAATTAATTTCGATGAAATTATTTCTACCGTACTTCCTTTTTCATTTATTATTACTATTACTATAACTATTATCTAATCTTAGAAGAATTTTAAAGGAAAGTTTTTGTCCTTGACAATTCAATTATTAAATCATTTCTCATTTTCAATCACTCATTTATCGTTTATAGCTCAATTTCTTCTTTCACTTAGAATAAATGAAATAATAATACCTGCTGACCTCTGTCAGTAAGAATAACATTTTTTTCTTTAGATTAATTATTTCGAATACAAAAATTTCTATTGGATAAAGGGAATAATTGAGGGATGACTTCTTTTCCATTTTAAAATTATCAAAATTATCAAATTAAAGTTAAAGAAGAAACTTTATATTAAATTTATCATTTTAAAATAAGAAATTTTACACAAAAGAAAATTTAATATTTATCCTGTTATCACACTATATTTGCCAATTGATAAGGATATTCAGAAAATTCAATATTTATCTTGTTATCACACTATATTTGCCAATTGATGAAGATATTCATATATCATATGTTTTATATTACCTGAAATAGGCAATCCTTTTATTATCATATAATGGTGAATAGGCAGGCCTACGATAAATGAAATTTATAGTAAAATATTATAAATAAGAGGAAATATTTAAACATTAAATGTGAAATGAAGCGAAAAAAATTTAGGGAGAGGAAGCTCATAAAATTAGTTGAAATTGGTTTTATTTTTTGGTTTTTCATTTTAGCAAATTTTCCGCAATAAAAGAAAGCAATAATATATAGCAGTGGGAAATGGATTATTGCTGCCTTCTTGCAATCATTTCTTAAATATATTTTAAATCATCGATCATACTCTTTTACTAATTCCTATTCTCATTGAAGTAAGGATGAAATTTAAAATTTATTCTTTTACGCTAAAATTGTATTTGTTTAAACAATTAACAATTAACAATTAAATTTATATGTGCTATAAATATGCTTCAACAAAATTATAGTAATAGTAATTATAATGCATTTTGAGTATAATTGCTAATTAAGAAGTTTTTCTTCCTTTTTTGGAGATTTTGAATTTCTATGTTTAGAAATGTTTTAAACACATACTCCAATTACTTAATTATATATCATTTTAACTTGTTTCTTCGGCAAACATATATCATTCATGTTTATTCCACTCGAGAAAAATTGTACTCTAAAATAGCTGTCACAAATTGGTCATTCCTTTTTTTGTCAGCTTAAAACAATGGCCAATTAAAGAAATGTTTGTTCTTTTTTAATATTTAACTTAGCCAAAAATGGAATGCTTCAATAATTCTAAATTATAAAAATTAGAAATGTTTCAAAGATCTTTTCTTTTTCTTTTGAATGAAAAAGAAAGAAAATGGAAAATGATCCATTTTATTATTCAATTAAAATTTCCTTCCTTCGACAATTGCTAAATAATTTTATTGCAGAAGCGATGAGCGAAGATATAGGCGAAGATTCTCGTGATGTACAATGTGCCACTAATCTTCGAGCTTTTCATGATGTTCGAGCATGGAGTAAAGCTGTTAAGGTATATTTAAAATATAAATAAATATAGAATAAGATAGCCAGAATAGATAATATCTATAAATATAATATAAAATATGTTTATGGATAGTATCAATAATTCAATTCTTAATTGTTAAATTAAAATTCAATTAATTGTTAGCTAATACTTTATAAGTTTACTTTACTTTTAAATTATATTTTTATAGCCATGGCATAAATTCTTTCGATTTTCTCAACTTGCCCTTCCAACCAACATTAATGGATATGTTGCAAGAATGAAGAAGAATTTTAGCCAATTTATGGCTAATTATGCTGTTATCACTGCTATTTTAATGGTTTATCATTTATTATATTATATTCATTTCTTATCAGCGAATAATCAATGATAATACAATTATCATTTCAGATTTGTGGTATAATAACATCATTTTGGTTATTGCTATCATCAATTCTTCTTGGAATATTAGTGTATTTCATTTACACGAAAACTAGAAATGGACCAATTAAAATTGGCACTGAAGAAGTTTGAATTATTCATTTTTATTTTTATTTTCAATTATATAATCTTTTTTTTTAATTTATTAATTCTATAAAATGACTATACTATTCGTATAATTAAAAGAATATTCAAAACGTCAGAATCTTTGCGTGACTATACTATTCGTATAATTAAAAGAATATTCAAAACGTCAGAATCTTCAGATTCCTTCTTGGATATTGTATGTTATGGCAATATTCATAACTTTACCATTGTTTATTTATGCTGGAGTTGGATATATTCTTTATTGCGCAATGGGTTTGTTCCTTTTTTATTTGGCTTATAAGAAAAGCTCTAAAGTTAACTTAAGTGAAATTTCCAGGTAATCTTATCGAACGAAAACATTATTATAAAGTAAAACTGTCGTTGAAATTTCTTTCCTATTTCATTCGTTTCAAATATTTCTTTCTTTCTTATCCGACAGATTTAACTTTATTCAAAAAGCTTTTTCAAATAACTTCCCACAACTTATTATTTTCATTCTTAAAAAGACGTATCAATTTTTCAGGAATTAGCATAATATTGATTCTTATTCATGCATCATTCTACAATACTGATTTACTTGTTTTACCGGAAGTAAACATGAAAGTGATGACGGAAGTAAGCGATCATCAACATGTAGCAGATATTGAAATTACGTCAAATCAGGGAATTTCACCGAAACGTCATGTTCTATTTCATGATATTGAAAATGAAGATAATTGAAAATGATACACTAATCATTAAAGATCATCAATGGAAACAATTCGAAGGATAAGAAAAAAAGATTCAGAATCTTCCTGTTCCTCTTCTTGTCCATCTTTTCTTATTTTGATAATCATAAAATATGACATAATTCGCAGACAATAAATAATATTTACGGTTCATTAACAATCTTCTCTCATCCTAATAAATTATCGATTAAAATAAAAGACAATTTAAACGTTAAATCCATGTTTCCATATGATAGCATCAATCATTTTATTTGAGATTTGAATCATTTTCGTTAGATTATCCTTCGAATCATATTTATAAATAAATATATTTTCTCTTAATTATACTGTATGCTATGTTATCTTCAGGATATCTCGGTATGTATTTCTATTGGTGTCATTCTGCCTTGATAGCTTAAATTATTTATTTGAGAATTTAACTGAGAAACGCTCATGCTGCTTACTTTCAAATTACACATATCCATCCATATCGTGAATCCTAGAATATGTTCTGCTCTATTTAGAATATCCCGGTACATTTCTTCATCTTGTCTATTGCTTTAAAATATATTTGAAATTGTACTGTTAAAATTACATTGTATTGAGACAAATTATTAGCACACAATCAAAAGAGACAAGTTCAACCACCGAAGTTAAAATAATTCTGGTAATTCACTTTGAAATTAACGAAAGAGATTTGTAATACAAACAATTTGTAAATGTAACAAAAGGATTGCCCTTTAACCTCTCATTATGTTAAAGAGAATCTTTTTAAAGATCATCCTATATATGTATGCATGCCTTTATTGCTACTTTTCTTCCTTATCTCACACAACTTCCTAAACTGTTATTGTACGCTTCATTTCTTTAGTCATTTTTTTGCCAGAAAGAATTTTGCATATTAAAAGCTGTATGGATTCTAAATCATCAATCGTTTTAGGACACAACATAGTGACCATTTTGATATGTTGGCCTTGACCAGTTGCTTGTCATCGTCCAAATCGGTAAGAGGAATAATATGTATGTGCCACATATTTGGATCAGCTCTTATTTTTTCCTCCCTCCAAATTAAATGCTTATTGGCACCCCTCAGATGAAATCATCAATCAACATGGCTTATCTCTCAGAACAGGTCTGTGATCAAATCTCTATCATCATTGGGAAACACTAGCGCGGAACAACCAACCAATTCTCAAATAACATGGTCATTGTTTATGAGAATCGAACCTGGATCGTTTTTCTTATCGAAATTGAGCAATTACGCATTGAACCAATAACGACGCCGTGTGTTGGAGAAATTTGAATTGAAAGGTTCAATTAATTTTGAAATAAATCTGTCACAAAAAAAAAAATTTTTCATGACAGATTTATTTTAAAATTAATTCAACATTTCATTTCAAATTTGAAAAATAAAAGAAATAAGCAAAAAACAATTCGGTCAAATTATTAATGAAAATGACATTACTAAAACAAATATTTTCAATTTATTAATTACTATTTTTTTTTTCGTAACATTTTTTAAATAAAACTATTGTCTTACGATATTTTGCAAAGAAAGATTATTGTCAGTGAGAATCTCGAAATGATGAAATCATCTAAATCACTGTCATATACCTATATCTTCATTTCATGGCACTTGTCCGATCATTCGGTTACATTTCACACATTCATTCATTTCACTCATTCCTTGTTCCATCACTTTCTAATTCAAATTAATCTCATACAACAACAGCAATAGCAGTAGAAGCAGCAACTGTATCGATGACGGTAGCATAATTGTAATGAAAGATACTATTTATTTTTATCCTATCGGCGCCTTTCTAATACTTTCGGATTTGTCGCCTTCATATAATTTACGATCATATCTCTTATTACATGAAAACAGTATTTACAATCATCTCTTAAGAGGTGTCACATATATACGCATATACAGATACATGATTCAATGTTGCATCTTAATATATTACAGAAGGAAGAAACTCTATTCATTTTACTATTTCCATTTTTTTTTCAATTCAGAGTTTTACAATTGCGCCTAAAGTTTCAAGGCGCATTTGTATTAATGAAACATTTCCTCTTCGCTTGGTAGTTTTAAAAAAAATAAAGCAATCAAAAATCATTGGATAATTTTACTAATTTTTACTTCTCCCTATTAATTAGTCTCTTCAAACTCAAATCATCCTCATTTTACCTTTCTAGCTATAAAGTTGCATTATTCTTCGATGCAATTATCTATACTGCAATTTAATTCTTTTGTTATATTTTCTAATTTCTATATGGATTACCCAAATTTAATCAGCGCTGAACTTATTCCAAAATACAGTAATATTCTTATCATATGAAAAAATTCAAAGCTAAGAGCTTTCTACATTTACAATATGTTTGAATATTCCTTAATATCAACAATTATTAATGCTATGATCATTTTCTTTATAAAAAAGCGCTTTAGCATCTTATTTTTATTTGAAGTACCATAGCTTGTTAAGTACCACAGATGGAAATAGAAATGGAAATTGACAGAGTAAAATTTTGGAAAATGCTGAATATTTAGCAGGAAAAAGGTCAACTCTTTATAAGCACAAAAAGTTTTATTTTTCCTTTCTTTGGCATTTTGTTATGGGAATAAGCTAAAATAAATTCCACTTGAATTAAGCATTTTTTGTTTACATTACAAACTACGTCTACAAATCTCAACATTAATCCAATTCATATAATCCGATTTGTTCATTTATTCACCTCTGGCTAGTTCATCTTATTTTCGGCTATACCGTAACCTTTTACTTTCATCCAATTTATATCTTCTACAATTTCTTCTAGTCCTATACAGTGAATGATATTTAAATTGAATTCTTTAATGTAATATAATCTTATCAAAATCTAATCATAAAATTTCGTTGTAATTTTTTTTTGCAAATATAGAAATTTAATCCATTATTAAAAACATTAATGGGAAATATAGCATCTAAAAAGTTAGATCAAAGGTTCATTTCTTCAATTAACATTCTCTTATTAAAATTGAAATTTCAAACAAAGCACCTAAAAAGTTATTGGATTAGAAATTCATTTTTTTCAAATTAAAATCCTTTTATTAAAGTAAAATTTCAACCTAAAAAATAAATCAGAAAATTTTTTCTTCTTTAAATTAATATCGCTTAACAAACTAAAATTTCAAGTAGCACGCAAAAAAAGTTAAATTAGAATTTCATTTTATTGAATTAACACTTAAGTGATGGAAATCTTTTATCAAAACAGAATTTCAACAGTTTAAAAATACTTCAAATGATGCCACCCATATTCAACCAAAACATAAACATCAAAAATACAAGGAAACAGAGTTATCTGTTTATTAGTTTATACGTACCTTTGTTAATTCAAATATATCAGAATTCTTCTTCTTCATGCTGTCCATCAATAGATAAATAGTAATATTCAAAAAGAAAGATGTTCACTGTTAATGGAATGGTCTGAAGTGATTTATTACATTTGAGATGAATTACTTCAATGCACTTAAATACTTACAACGATTATCATCGTATCGGTATATGAGAAAGACTGAATCAATCGGTTTGTTTTTTTTCATTCTATCGGTATACGGCGGTATTTTACTTCATCATCAAAAATGTTTTTTTCCATCACCAAAAAATGATTTTTGAGCTAACGATGGAATAATCAATTTGGTTTTTCAACTAAAAGAATTGAAAATTGGGATGGAATAATTTTTGATAGTTGTAAAATTTTTTACAACTTCATGAGGTCATCATCATAAATTGGTATTTTCTACGAAATGAAACTTATTTGCATGAAATACTATCCCACATATTTTCCACCAGAGAGGATTGGTTAAGAGGTTAGATTTCTGCCTGTTACTATTTGACATCTCTGTTACATTCAGTTCAAATCTTCGTTACATATCTCCTAGTTTATTTTTTATTCTTTTTAAAATAAAATTATTTTGAAAATGAAATATTGCATTTCTGCATTTATAGGATTGTGTCATAAGAGGATATAAATTTCTAATTTCTGCTTTCTATTTTCAATTTCTCAATTTCTCAATCCTCAAGTCCTCAATTTTCCAATCGACTTCTGGTATTTCCAGTAACATTCTTCCATATCAAATTATAAATTCCTCTGATTGCATTTGTCTGATCAATACTTTCATAGCTAATTTATAATCATCCGCTGTAAATCGATCCTTTATCGTTGATAAGCATTGAAACAATAGGATTTTACACCTTATTGTTAATTTAGTAAACTTAAGAATTCAAGCAGTTATCCTTATTAATTAAAACAACTCCCATCTATAAGTTTCAAACTTTAATTTCTAATAACTTCTTTTGTAACTTTTACGATAATAATTTTTTCTTCTTCATTTCCATATTCTTCATCGAAGTTATATTCCCATTATGGCCAGTTGATTTCATCTTTTTTCAACTATATTCACTCTTTCCATCATATTTCATAGTTTCCTAATATTTGTTGAGGCAAATCAATCCTTCTGCTGCAACATCAACTGAACTATACTTACTTGAAATGTAATGAAACAATAAATTTCGCCTTTCTTATTTCTTTTACTGTCAACTTTTTACAAACTAAAATTTATTGTTAAAATTTCATTTCATACAAAATAATTAACTATACATAAATAATTTATCATATAATTAATGAAAGAGTAGCCGAAGAAAATTTCAAATCTTTTTTCTCCTCTTTCTCTTTTTTCAATAAATATTTAAAGATTTGTTGTATTTGAATTCTTTAAAAAAAGTGCAAAAATATTCGATTGTTATTGGCTATTGACCAAATGGCTATTTTCTCAGCATTTTCAAAAAATAGAAGAGGAAGAAGAAGAAGAATGAGAGAAAGGATCATTAACATAGCCATTTTTCTACTGTCCTTTTTGCTCCGAACTTTTCACACTTTGACAAATGGGCCCTGTCCACTTTATTGTTCCCAACAACAAAATTTCTAATTATTCATTCATTCTTTTTTTCAATCATTCTCTATTCATTAAATCAA